CTGCCTTTTTATGCTCATGCTGTGATCAGCGGCAGCTGGATGTAATAATTGCTCGTTTAGTTACACTCGAAGTAGATTGACGAAGTGAATAGATTCACGTGACTTGTAGTGACCGACTGAAAGGGAACCTCAGTTATCTTCATCATTATTTACAAGACCTACTGTTTTTTTTTTTTTACAGTGAATCCCATTAGTTCAAGAAAACGTATCATGCTGTTACAAAACATCAATGAAAACATGCAGGATTAACAGTGAATGCAGCCAGACTTGATGCGGTTGACATCTGCAAAACATCTCAGGTTTCTCTACTAAACATCTGAGCTGTCATGCGAGCGTTTAGACCATCTAATCAAACAGCATCAAGATCCTGTGGAATGCTGCAGACATCTGAAAAGAACTTCTGCATTAAACCGAGAGGCACGCAATGAATGTGATTTAACGGATCTGATGTTTACGCTTCTAGCCAGTCAAGTCATGTCATGCTTCACCCAGAAGGTGCTTAATGTTAACATTTTTGACAGTGTACAGAAATGCAATTATACGACAAGCTGATATGGTCTCTCGGCACGCTCACATGCACATAGAACAAAACCCTCCGGAAAAAATGACTTGCTATCTTCAGGTCATGTCAGAACGGTCATATAAAAGATGAGCGTGTGTGAATGTTACCACATGGGTTACAACATACCATATTACATAACTGCAACTTGCGATTTTTTGCGACAATTTGCTGAAAATTGTACTTATCCTCAGGCCATTTTAGATGAGTTTTTGTTTCTTCATGGGAACATATTTGGAGAAATGTAGCATTACATCACTTGCTCACCAATAGATGCTCTGCAGTGAATGGGTGCCATCAGAATGAGAGTCCAAACAGCTGATAAAAACATCACAATAATCCACAAGTAATCCACACCACTCCAGTCCAGTCCATCCATTAACATGTTGGGAAGCAAAAAACTGTGTTTGTAAGAGAAAAAGAAAATCCGTATTTAGATGTTTTTAACTTCAAATCATTTCTTCAGCTAAAATATGTAAAATATCTCTGTGTGTAATATTGCTTTCTCCAGTGTTAATTACTTAATAACTAAAACTAAAACGATTGAAAGTTAATTGAATGAATGTATAAAAATGTAAAATATAAATATTTGATCAAAAGAAAAACAAACAAAAAACGTAAATAATTGAAATAAGTTTGGTTAAAGTTCTAAAGTAAAAAACAAACAGAAAAAAATAAATTCAAGCTAAATAAAAATATGAAACAAAAACTAATAACAATGACAAAAGCACTTTACAAAATGACTACAATCTTAAAAAAGATCAAATAAAAGCTAACTCAAATTATGAATAAATACCAGCAAAAAAAAAAAAAAAGCAAGAAAAAAACCAGGAAATTGCTCCACATAAATCTAAATCATTTACGAACATATTTTCATTACAACAAAAAGTCAAGCAGCAATTTCCCAGGATGACCTGAAGGCAATAATAGCACCTAAGTTCAGTATTGGAAGCAAAAATCTCCACAAAAACAATAAGGACAGAGTTTAGGAAATACTGTATAAATGAGGTCAGAGCAGGTCCTCATAAGCAGACCACAGAATCAAAGGCCTTCACTCTTCTTCTGTGCAGTTTGAACATCCAAATGAATTCAGAAAGCATATTTAGTGTCTTCTGGTGTTTATGAGTAATCCCTGCGGTAAAATCCCTTCCTGTTCCCTGACCAACAACCTAAACAAGAGGGAAAAGGAAGCATAAATTAACCGGCAGCAAGTCTCAATCTGTCCACTGATGTTTCTTGGAGCAGCAATAAATTTGTATGTATACAGACCATATAATATGCTGCATGTAACTCTACGATTGCTGCATGTAGTTTTCCATTATAGGTAAAATGAGAATTAACTTGAATTTTTTTGGAAGTAGTCGACATGAAATCAAAATGGATAACAACCTTTCCAAAACACATCTACTGTATGTGTATGTTGAAACGTTTCATGCACATTGAAGACCCTAAATGAAAAATATTCACCAAAATTCATGAAATTCCCTAGTGAAAAATATACTAAAATGTATTTCAAATACTTTTATGTCATGCTAAGTATACTACACATACATTTAAATATTTATGTGCTTAATAAAAATACCCTGCAACTGTACTTTTGGTAAACTAAACTAGTATACTTAAAAGTCTGCTAAATTGGAACACCTAATTTTGTGCTGAATGCCCTTTAATTGTGAAGAAGTTGTGCTGAAGTCCAACTAAAAATATACTGTAGTATATTTGTTTGTGCTAAAGTGGAACTATTGCAAGTATACTTATTCAAAGATCATGCAGTCCACATCAATAATGACATCAAAACACATTTTAGGCTTAATATTAAGAAATGTGCATTGTACACAAGTGATACTCCAAATAAAGTTTAATTATAATTTTTATATCAGTAACTCTTGAGCGATATGTCAGTAAATATGTTAATAGATTTGAACTATACTTAGTATGAAATGTATTTTTAAATATATTATTTTTTTACGAGGGCTATTACTATGTCATATTAACAGGTTAATGTGTCGATTTAGCAGCCCAATGAATACAGCTCGCTCAGTTTGATTGAAATCCACATATTCAATGAGAATTTATTGTCACAAGCACAATTTCTCGTCATAAAGTTACACAAAAATAACGGAACACATTTACACAATTTATACAATCCTAAACTCATTGTTCAATGGACAGGCTAACTAAGTACCTAAGTAACTAAGTTAAATATGCACTCACATTGCACACAATGATATTAAACCTACACAAGTATATATAGCTGTATGTGAAATAAACCATGGTCCGACATACAAATCACATTATTTACATTAAACATCCATTTGATTTCCAAAAAGGTTTCACGTCAAGGTCTTTCCATCAGTCCAGAGTTGTGGCATGATCGAGTTTCCACATTATTAGTCCAAAAGTTAATAGTAAGAATCGCAGCTGCCACAAAGATTACAATGAACACCGCGAAATGCTTGATATTTACGCTGCATCTGCTCATATGAGGCTGGTGTCGATTACTTCACGAAGTCACACTGTTGCTAGTGTTTTCGTAAGAAGAGTAAAAGTAAAAAAAATTGCAAATTAAAAACTTCAATTCAAATCAAATACTGTTTTTGTCTTTACATCCGTCTACATTTATTATTAGTTAAGCTAGGTTATAGACATCACTACATAGACTACATTTTACACGGTAAGCGTAAAAATATCGCAACGAAAAATGAGGTGCAACACGTGAAGAAAACAATCCTTCGCGTCTCGAAAGATCGTAAAAATACTTCTGTACGATAAAAACGTCAAAAAAAGGAAATCTCTTCATTATATTTATGCATGTTTGTGTGTGAGAACAGTCTTGACTTGAGGTTGCCAGCTGAATCGTAACTTTAACATACAGTAATTTGACGCAAAAATCCTGCGTCATATTCACATTTCGCCCAAACCAGACATTAATTTGCCTACTTTCGATGTAAATTGGCCTTATTATTGATGCTGCTTTATTACAAGTAAATTATACCATGGCATAAATAATCTTGCACTTTTATTGATTTTAATTGATTTAAAAAATGACGTTTGCGTCTTTTTGCGATTTTGTTTTAGTGATAATGGCAGCAGTTAATCATCACATGATGGTTAAATGAGGAAGAAGAGCGTCAGACTGGGAATATATGTGACCCTGGACCACAAAACCAGTCATAAGGGTCAATTTTTCGAAATTGAGATTGTGAAATTACCATCTGAAAGCCGAATAAATAAGCTTTCCATTGATGTATGGTTTGTTAGGATAGGACAATATTTGGCCGAGATGCAACTATTTGAAAATCTGGAATCTGAGGGTGCAAAAAAATCTAAATATTGAGAAAATCGTCTTTAAATCTGTCCAAATGAAGTTCTTAGCAATGCATATTATTAATCATAAATTAAGTTTGGATATATTTACGGTAGGAAATTTACAAAATATCTTCATGGAACATGATCTTTACTTAACATCCTAATGATTTTTGGCATAAAAGAAAAATCTATAATTTTGACCCATACAATGTATTTTTGGCTATTGCTACAAATAGACCCCAGCGGCTTAAGACTGGTTTTGTGATGCAGGTTCACATATTTATTTTGCTCTTTTGTTTGTGAATGAGGAATTAAGCCAAGTGTGTGTGTGTGTGTGTGAATGCAGAAATGTGTTTCAGCAGCGTCACGTGTGTCACATGTGAGATGAAGATACTGCAGTCCGAACCAAAACAAACAAAAGAGTCTCCGATTACTCAGAGAACGGCGGGAACATGCCGAGGTCGGCAAAGTCTTCGATGTTGTAATTGGTTGTTCCTTGGGTGGGATCTCCCGGCATCGGCAGCATATCCTGCGGGACAGAAACAGCGTGATGTTCAATCAGATGTTCAGTAGTGTCTGTGAACCTAACTATAATAGCCCATTCACATCAAGAGATGCTACAAAATGAATTTGCACGACTAAGAGAAGGAACTAGAATAAAATAATTCAAAAGTCTGTGGGAAATTAAAATATTTCTTTCTCAAAAATGGTTTTTATCACAGCTCGGCAATGATGCGCCATATCTGCAAATGAGATTTAGGAGCTACAAACTGAAGAGATGATTTTCACCCAAAAATTATTTCAATTTCTGTCTCTAAAACAAAACAATCATATGATTTCAGAGGAATTTTTGATATTGTTAGCTAAAACTTCAAATAAGGCTGAAATTAAATTTACATTTATGCACAGATGCTTTTATCCAAAGTGACTTCCATTTAAGGTACAATACATTTGATCAATTCTAGCAAGAAAATAAATATAAATACAATATAAATATTAATATATGAAATATTAAATTAATAAATATTAGAAAACAAATGAAAATTAGAAACACTGCCTTGACAACTAACTGACATAAAATATATGTTCAAGTAATAAAATGACTAAAAATAATATATAATAAAAATAATAAAAAAAACAAGAACACATAGCCAAATTACAAAAATGTCTACTTTTTTTTTGTACTAAAACTAAAATTAAAACTGCAAATGTAAAAATAATAGGCAAACCAAAATATGAATAAATTCTAGAAGATTCTATAATAATAATATTCTATTAAAATAACTCTTTAATAATAACTACTTGATAAAAAATAATTTTAATAATAAAAAATAAGCCAGAGAATGAATACATAAATGAATGAATTAATTACAAGAAATTAAAGTATATCAATGAAAGTGTTCTAAAAGTAAAAGTTAATTTGAACTATTTGAATCCTCAGTTTCTTTAGTTTTGTTAACTGCAGCTTGTGCTTTTGCAGGTCAGTCAGCAAAACCTCTACACTGTACTGCAGACAGGTGGCTAGTGATAGTGAGTTCACCTGGAAGACCTCGGTCTGGCTGGACTGAGGATGAGGATGCGGGTCTCCTCCCTGCTGGCTGTGGTGTTGACTCTGCCACTGAGACCAGACCTCAGACGGCCGGCCCTGGAACTGCCCTCCGCTCTGGCTGCTCTCACCTGACACATCTGCACAAACCAACACAGACACATTCACAACAGCCACAAACAGACACTTCTTCAGCTTAAAGATCAATGGACATTACGTGTTTTGGTTCTTTTTGCAATCCCAGTGAACGGTTCTTGTATGCAAAAGAGCTGTGAAGTGTCATTATTGTTTACTAAAATAATACAAATCATTTGTTGATTGAAAGCTGAAATAAAATCAAATATAAATATTACATGAAAAACGTCAACTTAAAAAATTGAACAAAACTTAGAAACTGAATAAAATAAAAATAAGTGTTATTACTGTTAACTATTCAAAACATTTGTTAATTAAAATGAAGTTTAAATAAAATACAGTATTAGATAAAAAAAAATCATGAAAATTATACAGAAAAAAAAAAACAGAAAATAAAATTGTATTATTGGTAAACTATTTAAAAAAAATCATTGGTTGATTGAAATAATATAATAATCTTAAACGAAAGACAAACTTAAAAAAAACCAACTAAAATTATGAACTGAATAAAATGAAAATAAAATAACTGAAAAAAAGCTAAAACAAAATAATGCTAACTGAAATACAATGAAAAACTAAATATCAGACGAAAAACGTAAAATCTATAAACTAAACAGAATAAAATAAAAACGGAAATTAAATCAAACAATTTTAAGCAATAAAATTACTAAAAGTAAAATTGAAATAAAAAATAAAGCTAAATAGAAATATTAAAAAGCAAACTAATAAAAATGTACATAAAATGACTAAAACAGTAAAAAAAATCCTTTTGTGTTCTACAGAAAAAACAGAATAATGGAATAAATGATGGCAGAATATTGTGATACAGATCCCTCGCCGCTCAACAAACATGTTTAGACTTTACAGAGCCGATCCTCCCTATTCATAGCTTTCAGTCATGTGACCGGTTTGAAGACTTGGAGCGCAAAACATCCATACAACTGCAGCACAAGCCTGTCAATTTTCCTTCTGTTTCACAGCCGCAAATATTTAGATCACCTCTCAAAAGAATAAAACAAAGGTATGTGTGAACAAAATGCAAGGTTTGGCCAGTCAATCCATATTAAGCACTCGCGGCTATATTTTAATCATTAAACAGTGCGACAAAACGTTGTAAAAACACTTAAAGTGCCTTAATATATTTAAAACAATTATATTGAAATATCAAATTCAGTAATCTCTATATTAATGATGCATAGTTTACATAGGCAGGCCGGAATATGAACGCAATCCGCTTAATGGTTCAGTGCTTTCCTTATAATGGTTTTCTATGGGAAACCATTTAACGTGAACACATTGCGTTTATATTCTGGCTTCATCTGCTTGCCTGTACGAAACACCAGGGGGCCCCCTTGCTCTCAAAGACGATTTAATTTTAGTTTTGTTTCTGAATTTGGCCAGCGGTTATGAAAACACGAATGATCATTTCTTTTAGTGTCTTCACCCGCGGGGCCCGAGTCTTTGCTTAGGAAAGAGCGAGTGGAGCAGACTAATGCGCGGCGTGGGTGGCTGTTTCGCAGGATGGCACAGCAGCGCCCTCGGGCTGTTTCTCATATTCTCCATGCTGATGAGGCAGTGATGTAAGGTCAAACTTCTCATTTCCCTACTGTGTTAACGCTTGCTGAGAGCGGCCCTCCTCTGGCTCCGTTTCTGCCCGTCTTTCCCTCAAGGTTCGGCTGCTTGACGCGCCTCGTAAATCTCTCTATCAATTTTTCTATTCGTCTTTGGTGGCGTTTCTCTCCCCTAGCCATCTTTCTCCGTCCCCATCAATCTGAAATCCACGTACTTCGTGTTCTCCCTCGGTGTCTGGAGCGCTTATGTAGAGCGTATCCTCCGGTCGCTCCGTCAAACCTGATTCTCAAAGATGTAACGCTACAAAATGCCGGCGTGACAAAAGCAAACAGCGTTCAAAGAAAGAGCCGGGCTTCGCTGTTGTTCCCAAGCACGCTTCAATCAATACGAGGACTCAAAGCACAAAGTACTCTTGCTTTGATAACGATAAATGCAGCTTTTGAAAGCTTGCTGGATTTCACGTACACATATAAAGACTGCAATTAAGGCACAATGTAACTATCTCAGCATGAAACGTTTGAATGAAGGCGGTGTGTGATTATTGTTTATGCATTGCATTAGCTGGGAAAGTAAGACTACACTGTACGAACTATGAAGCACAAATCCAAAGAGTCTAACAGGAGCTGGTTTATCTGTAAATATAGAACTGTATTGATTTTATGTAAACAGTCACTAGGCGATTCTCTTATTCTGTGGAATGTATTTATTTATTGTGGGGACTGAAAACTTGTGAAACATCTGTGTAAAAACATTGATCATGTCTTGGAACCAATAACTAGCAGTCAATTAACTTTGAGCATATACAAATAAAGAACCACTTGATTTTCTGAAGTTCGTAGCATTTGGTAATGACGCCTAATAAATCTGCCCTCAGATCATGATATGAAAATGTTCAAATTAATGACATTTCTGATCTTCAAACCGCTGCTCTGGCAGTGATGTGCTCCCCTGTCACTTCTCACTTCCATCAGAACTGAATATGAAATATGAAAATATGGTTTTTGAAGTTCTTTGGGAAAAGTGCAAAATACAACTTTCCTCATTTTAACACTTTATGAATTTATCACAGAGAGAAAGTTATTAAGTACATTTCAGCTAAATTTAGCATTTGAGACTTTGGCAAGAGTAATTAAGATTATTAATTAAAATATTATAATAAATAATTAAGATTCTAATATTTTATACAGCAATGTATGTGTGTGTGTGTGTGTATATATATATATATATACACACACACACACACACACACACACA